GGCCAAAATTAATGGCTGGGAGGGAGAGGGTGATTGAAAATGACGGCTGACATTGAGAGCAAAGTCCTGGAAGTCCCCGAGGGGCCATTACTTGCCTCGTTCCCTTGCAGATCAATGCAGGGACAGACCCAAAAACAGACAGTTTGAGACAAAACTTCATCAGACCACCTCTCCTTCCTCACTTTACCAAGTCTGCTTCCTCTCTGTTCAGCTCTGTTCCCCAGGGGCCATGTCAATGACCCAGCAAAACCGCAAGCGGCCCAACACGGGCGACCTCGGGGCCTCGGACAGCTGGTGCTGGGAGGGAATCTCCGGCTCAGCCAGGACGCTGGTGTCAGCAGAGGGGACAGGCGGTGACCCCAGGGCCCAGGCAATGCCTGATCCCACTCTTGCGACTCAGGGGTGAGCATCTGCGTGCTCTAGCCAGTGAGACAGGCGGGGCACACACACCCTGCTCTCTGTCTTGGGCAGCGTCACACAGATGAAGCAAAGGTAGCCCGGGAACTCCTGTTTCTCGGCTGTGGACTCTCCAGTCAGACCCAGAACCAGCCCTTGGGCTTCCCACTGTGGCGGCGTAGCTGAGAGCCCCGTAAGCCTTGTTATCTTGCTACCGCCTTGCACAGGGCCATCTGTCTTATGAGCAGAATCTACCCGAGAGAACTAGTATAATGTGTATTTATGGTGATGCCACGGACTGAAAGTTCACTTTATCCCTCCAGATTCTCACGCTGAACCCCTGATCCTCAACTGGTAGTGTTGGGAGGTGGGACCTCTGGGAGGTGACCAGGTTTAGACGAGGGCACAAAGGAGCAGCTCCCATGAAGATGAAGAGGGTGAGAAAGAGACAAGATATCTCTCTCCCTGCACACGGTTGCCAAGGAAAGACCAGGTAGGGACACAACCAGGAAAAGGACCCTCACCAAGAACCTGACCACAATGGCACCCTGACCTTGGACTGCCAGCCTCCAGAACTGGTGTTTAAGCCTTCCACTATATGGGAATGCTTTCAAATGAATTAATTTATTTAAAAGGCAGAGGTACAGAGAGAGAGAGAGACCTTCCATCCACTGGTTCACTCCTTAGACGGCTAGGATTGGGCCAAGCCGAGGTCAGGAGCCTTGAATCCGCCCGGGTCTCCCACGTGGGTGGCAGAGGCCTAAACACCGAATGAGGACAGGCATGAGCACAGTGCCATCATTAGCATCCGAAAAGGACGTCAGGTGAGTACACTGCTTCCCAGTGTGACTTGTCTGCTTTAGCCAGATTCACCACCAAGTTACTGTCCCCCCCCAACCTTAAACCAAGTCCTCTCCTTGTGGTCCTCCATGCACCCCCTCTCCTCTGCAAGGCACTCCCTGACCACAGTGCTTCTGCTCTCCACATCACACAGCAAAATCATGAAGCACGCCACTCCCCCACCCCCCACCCCCGCTTACAGCACCTCCTCCTGACACCTCTGAGTGCTGTGAATGGCGATGCCTGAGGCCCTGCACCAGAACGTCCGCTCCATGGACAGGGGCGCGGGCTGCGCCTGGCTGTCAGCAGCACAAGCAGGAGTCCGCGTCTGCGAGCTCACCAAGGCAGCGCCTCGAGGCAGCTCAACAAGCGCCGCTGTCCCCTCCTGTCTTGGAGGAAAGCAGCCCCTTACTTGCTAACCAGAGTCCTCAGGAGGCCAGTCCTGCCAAGGTCCTGCCCCATCTCTGTCCGCCCTGCTGCCCGGTCACCACTCTTCCTGCATCACAACCTCAATTCTCAATCTGGACTTCCTTCCCCCACGACCGTCCCTTCTGTGGAGAGCTGTGGCCCTGGTGCCGTCCGCATTTCTTCACTTCCCATTTCCTCTTCCACCTACTGCAGTCTGGGCTTTTGCCCCAACACACTCACCGTAGCCACTATCTCAAAAGCCCCTGCTAACCTCACACAGCCAAATCCGTGGCCCCGCTCTGGTCTTCTGTTGCTGCATCCTCTTCCTTCTCACCTCTCTCCTACACTGAACTGTGGGAACGACCTGCATGGACAGCGCCAGCCCCCAGTCTCTCCTCCTGTCCTCCCCACCTTACAGCACCACTACCCGACCTGACCCCTGACCCAGGCACCTCGCAGTGACCTTTAACTCCTCCCCCCGCCCTGCCTTCAGCCAACGGCACTCCCACTAACTCCGCCTCCAAAACGTCCCCGAGTCTCCCTGCTGTCATCTTTCCTACAGCTTTGGTCCCCAGCAGGTCTTCCAGCCTTCCAGATCTCCACTCGCCACACGGAAAGCAAAGGACCCTTTCAAAATTCTTGGCTGTTCGTTCACTTGTTCAATACACCATCACTGGGTGGTACGGCTCGGGCCCTGTTTGAGGTACCGGGGCTACGTACGTAAGACAGTTGTGTCCCCTCTCATGGAAACTGCAGACAACACTGTACTTATGCGCATGGAGAGAGAGCAGATGAGGCGAACAGAAGGGTAAGGGGTGCTGCTTCATACAAAGTGCGGTCAGCCTGCACCTTGTGAGCCAGGGGAAAGTCTGTGGGTTTTACATCTTTGGGTTTCCCAGGAACTCTGTCAGCGCCTCTCCGCCGCCAGCCTTTGAATTCCATTGTTCCATGCGCTCTCTGAGGCCCCTTGAATGCATGCCAAATGGAAGCCCCTCGTAAAGTCGCAGGGATTTTTGGGCCAGGCGGATTGCCAGTGTTTTTAATTTCTGACCCATGCTACCCGCAGCACAGCTGGTTACTGGTGGCTGCACCAACTTGGGGTTCCACTGTGGGCAGTACACAAGAGACCATGTCTTGAAGTGCCAAGGTATCCTTGGTTCAGATATCTATCTATCTATCTATCTATATTAAAGATTTGTTCAATCTTTAAACAAGATGGGGTGGGACGCTACTGGAGGATTCGGGGCAGACAAGTGAAACGCTCTCGTGCTTGCAAAGGCTCACTCTATGTGGAGACAACACTGAGGGGGCAAAGGTGAACCAGGAGAGACCCACTGGGAGTTCTCACTCGAGTAAATACTGGAAATGCTGGCGGCGCAGGCAGCAGATGTGCGTCAATCACAGAGCTCACGTGGTTTGCTGATGGACTGAAGGAGCTGAGATAAAGTGAGGAGCCGGGCTGACGAGGATGATCTGAGTAACTAGGAAGATGGAGTCCCCACGGACTGAGACTGGAGAAGTCTTTGGAGACACAGGTTGGGTCCACAGGGGAGGCCTTAGAGACCAAGTGGACACAGTCAGCGTCAGCTTCCCCTGGGAACAGCAGGGAGCTGTTCGGGGAAGGGCTACGCTGCAGATACAGATCCTGGGGTCGTCACGGGCAGGTGAGATCAGGCCGAGTGAACGTCACAGAGAAGACGAGAGGTTCAAGGATGAGCCCTGGCCACTCCGGTGTCTAGGAGCCAGCCCAGAGACGGAGAAGCCAGGCAAGTGAACACCAGGAAAGCAGCCAAGGAAAGGAAAAGCGTCTCTCTCCACAAGGAAACTTAATTCGATCAGAAAAAAGTCCTTCGTACTTTCCCTGAGGAAGAAACGCTTGAGATAATCTTTTGCTCTCTAAGAGGCAGACGTAAGATTCGTCTTACTTCCATATTCAAAGTAAATTCCACAACTTACAAGCGTTAAAATCCCTAATAACTTAGCAAATGAGGCTCCTCTGTAAGACTCGCACTGGCATATGAGCCCTACACTTGCAAGTCAAGCTCTTGCTTCTGCCTAACACTAAAATCAATGTTATGGCCTAGAATGAAACCAGGGTAGTGCTAACGGTGGACGAACAGGGAGGAAGACCACCGGAACAGAATAACAAGTCCAAAGTAGACTCAGGGACATACAAAGGATGAGAATAAGATAAAGGTGGCTTTTCCAGTCACTAGAAAAGAATGCGTTTTTAAAATTTGTGCTAGTGGGGCTGGCGTTATGGCGCAGCAGGTTAAAGCCTTGGCCTGAAGGGCTGGCATCCCATATGGGCGCTGGTTCTAATCCTGGCTGCTCCTTTTCTGATCCAGCTCTCTGCAATGGCCTGGGAAAGCAGTGGAAGATGGCCCAGGTCCTTGGCCCCCTGCACCCACGTGGGAGACCCAGAGGAAGCTCTTGGCTCCTGGCTTTGGATTGGCACAGCTCTGGCCATTGCGGCCATCTGGGGAGTGAATCAGAGGATGGAAGACCTCTCTCTGTCTCTACCTCTGTCTGTAACTCTGTCTTTCAAATAAAATAAGTAAAGTAAAGTAAAATAAAATAAAATAAGTAAAGTAAAATAAAATAAAACAAAACTTGTGCTAGGACAACAGCCACTCAGAAAAGCACAACACTGGACTCCTACTCCCTGTCGTTCACCAGAATAAATTCCACATGGTTCAGAGATCTACATTTTAGAAACAAAACTTAAGGCAGTTTGTTTACTCCCAGCAAAGAAGAAAAAACTGAAAATGCACATATGTACACCTGCTTCTGCAAACTGAAGGGCAGGATTGACAGACCAGAGATGAGCGGATCATCTACTACGGGGGACGGAAGGGGGTGAGATGGAGGGATGAGGAAGGAGTCCGAGATCGCCAAGTGTACCTCTCTCTACAACCATACCTTTTGGTCCATGTAAATGCCATACATCTTCAAAAGTAAATTAAATAAAAAAGATGGAAGAAAACCTTAAAATTGAACACAAACAGAAATAAATAAATCTGAGTATTAAATTGGAACCTAACCCACACAGGAAAGAAGCCAAGTAATTCTGATAACAGTATTCTGAATCTTAGTGTGATAGAGTCTAAGGACAGAAAGAATGCAATAAAATCTTGAGTTTCACTTAGGAGATTCCTTACTGGAATGACATTTGTGTCGGGATTATGAAACTACTTGTGCACACTGAGGGATACGGTGTATTTCGAAACACACATTTCCTCGCTCTGTCCTCGCTCTGTTCTGAGAAAGCCCAGAAGCAAGAATCTCCCAACAGCAATGAACGGCGCATGTCCAGACCTTGAATTGCAAAGAGTCTCCAATGCAAGGAGACTCACCACGCTCCTGGAGAAGTGGTTGACTCCAGACTGGAAAAGGAAAACACAAGTGATTGCAGAATTATCTCCCTCTCGCAGAAAGCAAGCAAATGCTCAAAAACAAATGGAGAAGACCAAAGGCAAAGGGCCAGCTTGAAGGAGCTCCCGCTGGCCAAACTTGGAATAATAATAATAATAATCATTATTATCACAGAAACAGAAAACATTATCCACAATGATGGAAACTGATTACAACACAATAAACAATAAAAATCCCATGAGTCCATGATCTGAAAAAGAGAGAGCAACAGAGAAAGGGAAGAAAAAGGAAAAATGCCAGGCAATTAATACAGAATAAATGATGGAATTAGAAAAAGCTACATTTTACAACCCTCAATATAATAATCATTGATTTGGGTTAGAGCCCCGGCCCACAGCGTCGGCATCCCATATGGGCACTGGTTCGTGCCCTGGTAGCTCCACTTCCAATTCAGCTCTCTGCTAAGGCCTGGGAAAGCAGTAGAAGATGGCCCAAGTCCTTGGGCCCCTGCACCCATGTGGAAGACCCAGAAGAAGGTCCTGGCTCCTGGCTTCTGGCTCTTGGCTTTGGATCAACGCAGCTCCAGCCATTGCAGCCAACTGGGGAGTGAGCTAGCAGATGGAAGATCTTTCTCTCTCTCTCTCCCCTCTTCTTTCTATATTTCTTTCAAATAATAATAATAATAAAAGATAATAACCACCAGCATCTATGGAGTGCTTCCTAAAGGCTTCTCTCTCTTCTGCACTCTTATGTGGCTGCAGTCACTTAATTCTCACCAGAGTCTCTGAAGAGTTATTTGTGACCCCACTGCAATGGTGAAGGAACTGAGGCCAGAGGGGTTAAAGCGCTCTCTCAAGGTCCCTGAGACAAGGAGTGGTGGGGGTAGTGGCTCCAGAACCCACAGCGTTTAGCCACTGTCTAAGCTGTGTGTGTCTGGGGGGATGCAGGGGAGGGGACTCAAAGAGTAGCAACAGTCGTGCTGTGGACAGAATTCCCTGTGACCCCTGCACCACCTCCAGGGAGCACTAGCGCGTCCACTCCAGGGGCTCAGCCACTGTAAACGCCTCGTTCAGCATCAACCAGCAATGGGAGGATGGCATGTGCATGGCAGCCGCACACTGCAGCCCTACGCAGGGCAGGAAGTGTCGCCACGGGGCTGGTACTGTGGCACAGCGTGTCAGGCTGCCGCCGTGATGCTGGTGTCCCAGAGGAGTGCTGATCTGTGTCCCAGCTGCTCTGATTCTGATCCAGCTCCCAGCCAAGGTGCCTGGGAAAGCAGAAGATGACCCAGTACATGGGCCCCTGCAGGCAGGTGGGAGACCCGGAAGAAGCTCCAGGCTCCTTGCTTCAACCTGGTGCAGTTCCCGCCATTGCAGCCATTTCGGGGGTGAACTAGCGGATGGAAGACCTCACTCTGTCTCTCCTCTCTCTGGAATTCTGCCTTTTAAATACATAAATAAATATTAAACACAGACACACACACAAACATGCGCGCGTGAGCACTGTGACATTTGACTGTTCTTCCCAGGAATCTTGAGACAAGTGGACAGGCTGAGGGGATAATACTGGAGGGTCGAGCACCAATCCTTACAGACCAACTTGAGAAAACACAAGACAGCAACGAGGCGCAGTGATGGCAGCCCGAACAGCTCTTATTTATGAATGAACACTGTCGGCACTGTTACTACAGAGCTCAGGGGCAGTTTCTAACAGAATTCTATTTTGTTTACAAAATGACTTTAAGAAAAACACAGAGCACCACGGCTCACTAGGCTAATCCTCCGCCTTGCGGCGCCAGCACACCGGGTTCTAGTCCCGGTCGGGGCGCCGGATTCTGTCCTGGTTGCCCCTCTTCCAGGCCAGCTCTCTGCTGTGGCCCGGGAGTGCAGTGGAGGATGGGCCCTGCACCGGCATTGGAGACCAGCAGAAGCACCTGGCTCCTGGCTTCGGATCAGCGCGGTGCGCCGGCCGCGGCGGCCATTGGAGGGTGAACCAACGGCAAAGGAAGACCTTTCTCTCTGTCTCTCTCTTTCACTGTCCACTCAGCCTGTCAAAAAAAAAAAAGAAAAGAAAAAAGAAAAACACAGAATACTACAATGTGGGTGAGCTCTGAAAACATGCAGAGCGCAAGAGGCAAGTCACAAAGGACCACACGATGCGAGATTCCATATACACCCAATGTGCAGAACAGACAAACCGCAGAGACGGAAAGCTGCCTGGGGGTGCCTAGGGCAGGGGAGCGGGGAGGGCCACAGCAAGTGGCCACCAACAGGTCCAGGGTTTCTTTGGGAGAGGCAGTGATGAGAAAATGCTCCCAGACTGATTAGGTTTGCACAGCTCTGTGACTACCCTGAGGACGACTGAAGGACGTGAACTATACGGTGTGTGAGTTACACCTCAATAAAGCTATTACGAAAGATAATGCAAGAGCACAGCTGTGAAGCCCCCATCCCACCCGCGACGGCCTGGGAGCCGCTGGTACTCACGCTGGTGGTTTCGAGGAGTCGTCAGCCCAGCCTCCGTGCCTCCGAGGTGGTTTGGGAGGGGGCTCCTGTGGGGAAACAGTGACAGTGACAGTGACTAACGTCACTCAATGCTGGCAGAGGTTAAGGCCACCAGTGCCAATACCCAGCTCATCAAAGCCTTCTGAGTAGGTTTCTGGTTTACTGCGAACACGTGCTGCCTGCACACCCACATGACAGGTATGTAAACCGACAACATGTTTCTGGAGGTCCGTCTGGGATGTCCACTGGAAGGCTTAAGAACACTCAGGCTCTGCGAGCCGTCCATCCCAATCCCAGGGATCCACCCCAAGGCACGCATCAGAGCGGACCATGATTTATTTCTGAAGGGTGACCAGTTGGGAACGACTGAAATGGCCAGCAACAAGGCCACGAGCCAATGCAGGGACACACGTGAAAACAGCGCCAGGCGGCTGAGGAAGGCTGCGCTGCAACGCACACCAACGGGTAAGGGAAAGCCCGATGCATCTTCATTTCCTAGGGTTTTGTGAAAAGATTCACACACGACACTCAGTGTTGAGCATCTGTGTGCACGAGACGCGGAGGGGACTCAGTTACAGGCAGTCCGAATCTTCCTCCTCTGTGCTATTGTGCGTTTTCCAGGTTTTTTTTCTTTTTTTTAAGAAAATAACCTGGACTACTTTTATAAACAGGACAGTAATAGAATAAAGATGCAAGAGTGAGACTTGCTTTAAAATCATAAACTAAATCAGCGGGTTAAAAATGTACTCCAGGAGGCGCTCAGCAGCGATGGGCACGTGCAGACACCCATACGCACGCACCAGTTCCGGTCTAGCATAACGCAGAAATAACAAGGGAACAGCAGCCGCTCCTGAGTCATTTCAGTTGGATAAAACACATAGAGCATTTCCTTTTTTAATTACCCAGGATTCTCCCAGGACTGCTCTTTGAAATATCCATTTTATTTTTCTGAGAACTTCATATAAGTATTGCGTGGGGTCTAAGAAAGTTCTCTGATAAGCAGACCAAAACAGAGGTCGGCAAAGCTCTCCTCTAAAGGCTAGGAGGCAGGCGTTTTTCATTTTGTGGGACATGAAGTCTGCTGCAGCTCTGATACTGGAGAACGACAGACAGCCATGGATAACAAGTAAACAAGTGAGCAGAGCCATTCCAATGAAACTTCACAGAGAGGCAGCATGGTTTGCTGACCCCTGGGCCTTGGCTGTTCTGTTGTTGCTCCCTTTTTTAAAGTCTAACTTCAAACTTTTAAAAGAAAACACCCTCCCACCAAGCCCGGGTATCTCTATACTTTTGATAGTTTGATTTCACACCATGATCCACGCTCTTTCCTGCCAAGGACGTGCTCCACTTACATACAAGGTCTTTTTGCAGAGGGAGCCAGATCTGCTGGAAATGACTTACCGAGAAGATCCAAGTGTCGAACACTTGGATGCAGCTTAACTCCTGGGAAGTGGAAGTAGCACTTTAGAGAAAACAAACTTAAATTTTCTATGCAAGGGGCCGGCAACAGAGCTACTTGAGGGTTCTGTGTATCTCCGTGAGAAACAAGGAAGACACAGGAGTGGAAACGCAGTGTTCGTATCTGCAGGGGGAAACTCATGATGCACCACGCCCCACCACTGCAGGTGGTGCACCTGCCACCCATGCCCGCCCATCCCTAGGCTAGAAGGGGAAGCCTCACCTTCCATGACCCTCTGTTTCTTTAAGACATGGCTGGCTAAACCAGGGAAAGTCTTGGTCTGACCGGATCAGAATCAATTGGACTCCTTGTCCCAGGATCTGGAACTAAACTAGAGGCTAATTTGTTCTGACAACAATTGCAACTGCAAGGACCAGTTCCTGTGAGAATAAGCCACAAAGAAGCCCAAGTCGAGCACAGGCAGTGCTGTGGTTTCAGGGTAGCTCCTCAGACTTCCTGCGCTGGAACCTTAAGTCTCCAACGCAGCAGTGCTGGGACGTGTTTGGAGGCCTTCCTGAGTGGCTCAAGGCCTTTATTTATGTTTGAAAGAGTTACAGAGAGAGAGAGAGAGATCACCCATCTACTGTTTCACTCGCCAGATGGCCGCAATGGCTGGGGCTGTGCCAGGCTAAAGCCAGGGGCCAGGTGCTACATCCAGATCTCCCGCAAGGGTGGCAGGGGAGCCACCTTCTGCTGTTTTCCCAGATCATTAGCAGGGAGATGGACTGGAAGTGGAGCATCCCGAACACGAATCGGCACCCACGTGGGTGTCGGCATTGCAGGCAGCAGCCTTACCCAGCCTCGCCTGCTATGCCACTACACTGGCCACCGTCATCACCATTATATCTAACATCAGCATATGACAGGAGAGATCATGTAGAATAAAATGTACAGTCACACTGCGGGGGAAGCATACTCTTCCAAGCCTGTCACTTTGACTTCCGGTAGACACTGTGTACTTAGTTAACGGAGTTGCCTAAGCATCCAAACACCAGAACAGTCACTATCCTCCTAGACCGCAAACCCCCAGAGGGCCATGGCTATCAGCCGTGTGCGAAATCCCTTCTGCCTAGAGGGAACACAGAGCAGCTTTTCCTCTCCCGCATGTCCTCTCCCGCTCCTCCCATTACAACACGGCACCAGGAGCTTCAAAACATGTAGGAGTCATTCCTCCAAATCTAGTGCAGTTTAATGAGGAGTTCTGGGGCACGCGTTGTGACACAGCAGGTTAGGCCACCACACGGGACACCCACGTCCCGCATCAGACTACCTGGTTCAAGTCCTGGCTACCTGTATTTCCAATCCAGCTTCTTGCTAATGTACTTGGGAGGTAGCAGATGATGGCCAAAGTACTTGGGTTTCTGCCACCCACATGGGAGACCTGGATGAAGTTCCTGGCTCCTGGCTTCGGCTTGGCCCTGATGTGGCTGTTATTGGCAATTGGGGAGTGAACCAACAAATGGAAAATCTCTCGTGTGTGTGACTCCGCTTTTCAAATAAGTAAATTTTTTTTAAATTTTTTTTAACTTTTATTTAATGAATATAGATTTCCAAAGTACAGCTTATGGACTACATTGGCTTCCCCCCACCCCTCGATGACTTCCCTCCCACCCGCAACCCTCCCCTTTCCCGCTCTCTCTCCCCTTCCATTCATATCACGATTCATTTTCAATTTTCTATATATACAGAAGATCAGTTTAGTATACATTAAGAAAAGATTTCAACAGTTTGCACCCACATAGAAACACAAAGTGAAAAATACTGTTTGAGTACTCGTTATAGCATTAAATCTCAATGTACAGCACATTAAGGACAGAGATCCTACATGAGGAGTAAGTGCACAGTGACTCCTGTTGTTGACTTTACAAATTGACACTCCTGTTTATGGTATCAGTAATCTCCCTATGCTCCAGTCATGAGTTTCCAAGGCTATGGAAGCCTTTTGAGTTCTCCGACTCTTCTCTTCAAATAAGTAAATCTTTAAAATAACGCCAACACATTTTAAAAAAGTAGTTCTGAAATTGAAGAGTTTTTTTTTTTTTTAATCTAACATTTGAAGCTCTCAGGAGTGGACACATACTGCTTTATGTTTTTTCTTTTTTAAAAAACTTATTTTTTATTTATTTGAAAGGCAGAGTTAGAGAGAGGATGAGAGACAGCAAGAGATCACCAGCACCCATATGAGATGCTGGTGTAGCAGGTGGAGGTTGAACCTGCTAAGCCACGGCACCAGTCCCCAGCAATGGACTGCATAAGCTACAGCTCATTTTCCCCAGAGGCTGAGATCACTGGGAAAGAGAGATCTGCCACAAAGTCCCTGGATGAAAATGAAAACGGGGCAGGGACCGTAGAAACCCTCTCAGGAGCAGGGGCAGGCGTCTGGTGCAGCAGTTAACACACCACTTGGGGTGCCTGCATCCCATATGGGAGCGTCTGACTTGGAGTCCCCACTCCACATCTGGCTGAGCTTTGTGATAATGCACACCCTGGGGGACAGCAGATGATTGGTCTCTGCTACCATGTGGGAGACGTGGAGTGAGGTAAAGGCTCCTGGCTTGCCCCAGTGATTGTAAGCATTTGGGGGAGGGAACCAGTGGACAGAAGGTATCTCCTGTCTTCTTTTTCAAATTCAATAAATACAAAAATAAATTTTTTTGAAAGGAAATAAATCCTCCTTGCTCCCTACTGGGAGTCGGCAAACCTCAGGAGAGAGTGCTGGGGCAGGTGGGAGATGAGGAGGTTCAGGCAGAACTTAGTTCTCTGCACAGCAGGGCTGGGGCATTTAGGGGGAGACGTCTGACACCTGACAGATTCAGTGGTCTGAATCCAGGGACCTGAACGGTTTCTGTAAATACCCCCTACCATCAGCCTTGTTAGGGTCACCCACAAATACCCTTTCTGGACAAGACAAATTTCATTAACCAAGTTATAAGGCTGTTCCCTGCATTGTCCTATGTGCACTGAGCCAGAAGTAGTAGATGTCAGCCCTGTCCCAAATCTTATCCAGCTCAACGAGGCCAAGGAGAGACGGAATCCAGGTGTGTAGGTGTGTCAGCTTTGTACAAAACCCACCTGATCAGAAGTCAAGCTTCATCTGAAACCCAAGAGGCCCCACTGAAGGCAGGAGGCACAGGTCCAGGGGTCATTCCAGACACAGGCCACAGCCAGGGTCAATGGCGAAGCCCTCAGCCATGGGACAGTTCCATCCAATTCGGGATTCATCATCTGCTGCCCCAGGCCCATCAGCAGGATGCTGGAGGGGAAGTCTCAAGTAGACAGGACTCCAACTGGTGCTCTGATACGGTACACGGACACCCCAAGGAGTGGCTTAACCATTGTGCCACAGGGCCTGCCTAATTCTGCAGCTTTTTGTCACCCTGGGTGGTGGTGACTGTGCCACTTTCTCCTGGGGCTTCGTCAAGAGAGTGCCCTGACAAGAATGCTACACAAGGGCATTTCAAAAAGTTCACAGAAAATGGAATTAAAAGCTAAGTTCATTTGGGGGAAAATATTTCTGAAATTGTATATATGAGTGTTCTTCAAGAAGCTAATGGAAACGTGTATTATGCAAAAATTTGTGCATGGATT